TTAAAGATCGATACGTGAGCGATCGCATAAAATACAGCTGCCTACATATTTGTATGTCTCTGTCATACGAATTGTCTGTGTATATATTATTATATAATTCGCGAATATTAACGAGTTTCGTGTTATCAGATGGCTCTCGAATGATATAGTTTTCACAGCAGCTTTTTTCCTTCTTCGAGGTTTATCTTTTTCGAGTGTGTCAGTCCATTATTCATTTGCGTTTAAGTTTAGAGCAAATTAATATATATTGACGGTTGATGATATATTCACGCGAGGAACTTGCGATTGTCTTCCAAGACTCGAACCAAATCGACCTACTTAACGGTAAAATAAATTTCAGACATTTTAATTGCAAATTCGAGTATTGAAATGTGCTTAATACTACCGGGGTACTGCGTGTACAACGAAAATATAAATTTTATCTCGATTGATCAAATTTATTCCCACGACGCCCGGATTAAATTTATTCTCGGAACATCGGGCGCCGGCAAATTAATCCAATTAATTAATTTTGTTAAAGAAACATGGCATTTTCACTCGCACGCCTTTCGGAAAATTTTATCATATTATTCTTCATTCGTTCTTCTTTCCATCTTTCTCGATAGTTGAACCTTAATGATGTTACGTAACGATCACTGTTCAGTTAACAATTATCTCAATTAATCGCTCAAGGCGCTTCTCAATAAATTGCCTGAAATCAAGTGTTGTACAATATTTTGTTTAAATAGCGATCATTCTATTTAGTTTAGAGAATCGGCGATTTGCGAGAAGTTGTCGCGTTTATCCAAATTGACATTCGCGACGTAGCTCCGGCCTCCGTGTTATTTCTGCAGATAGGCCTTGCATTTATGTATGCAATATTCAATATCCTCGGTTTCTTCTGGCGCAATGAGACGCGACTCAAGACTCAATGTAGCACAACTTGGCACAGTTTTTTTTTACACAAAAAAAAACGACTAACTTCGTACACACCTAGATTCACGCACATGGACTGTAAATTAAAACTCACGGTTTTTTTTTTAATTTATAATACGCGCGGAAAGTCTGGCGGTGTCGTTGTCGAAAATTTTATGAATCTGAAGCGAATGGTCGCATATGTAGGTACGTGAATTTCAAAGCGGCATTTAGATTTAGCAAGTAGATTTGAGTAGCCTCGGATTCACAACGTTTCTCCGTTTTACCCACTGGTTAGTATTTTTACCCTTTGTGACATCGACAAAATAAAGACCTTTTAAATAAGAGTCTGTACATGAAACAACTACTTTTGATTGATGAGAAAGAGGGGGGGAGAGAAAGAAATAGAGAATGTATGTCCTTCTCTCTCGTGTGATTTTATTAAAATTAGAGCATACGACTCGTATCTAATTAAGAAGTCTGTATAAAGGCCAATAACCGTAGTCAGTTCTTATATTTAAGATGGTCTTAAGTACAGTCTTGATATGTCATAAGCCAATCACAGAACAGTATTAGCATTTTAAGACATTACTTGAGGTGGTCTTAAAATAAGAATGGACTATGAATATCGGCTTCTCTGAATATAGGCATCGGTCTGTCTTCTCTCTCTCTCTCTCTCACACACACACACACACACACACACACACACGAGCTTCTCTTTAGCCCGTTGACACGCGGGGTGCTTCATCTTTCGAATCCTGCCGCTTTAATTTGCTCGCCACGATATCAGACGTGACACGACTCCATTATATGAACGTCGAGTAGGTCGAGCACGCAATTAACAAGTTTACTTGAGAACGGTGCGCGACGAGAAACTACAGTTAGCAAATGAATGCAGTCGGGAGCTAAATCTTAACTACTTCTAACGTTGCAATACGGGGACGCGTCGTGAAATGCAGCCGGCCTCTTTTTCTCGAGCATCCTTGATTCGTCGTCGAGTATACGTCGTGCGAACTACGGTAAGTCCGTTTTCTTTCTTTCTTCTTTCTCTTCCATTTTCTATCTTTCCCCGATGTAAGATTTTCTTTACACCGAGGCTGTTTCGCGGATCGCTCGTATTCGAGACTGGCAGTATTCAGAATAGCAGTCGACGCTGCTAATTGAATTCTTCGTCAAATATCGATCGAATTGCAATTGATTATTTTTATGCCAAAGCGATACTTTCAGCCGTTTCCGTTTCGCATCTTTCCAAACGATCCGTTCTCACGGTCGGTTATCAGAACCTTGAAAAAAAAAAGGACTGTTGTACCAAATTATAAAACCCAAGTGGTATTATTTTTATTATTTATTTAACTCTAATGACATATATTACTTGTATAAAAAATTTGGTATCAACAACTGGCATCAAGTTAAATTCTTTTAAATTAAAAATTAAAACCCAAGTGGGGTACTGTCCTTATTATTGATTTAACTAAGTAGATAATTAAGTTTATCTATATGAGACGAAGAAGTTGCTATCAATCTACTGTGTATGTGTGGCCACCAGACACGAAAGGATTAAGTCGTCGATTTGATGCTAATAGCATCTTAGAACTCATAAAGAACTTATTGCGAAAAATACTTCTTACCTCAGCGAGGATTCGAATATTCCGAATTCCGTGCGGGCGTCCTTCCAATTGGAGGTCCTATTGGACATCTTAGGCAGTAATATATCGCTATAATCAATATGTATAGAGAAAGTATACATTGAAAAAACAGCGTGTATAAATGCAATAATATTAAGATTAGAAGACAGGGCGTCGCCCTGAAAATATCTTTGTCTTCCCTGTCCGCGATAAAAAAAGCGTTCGCTTTAATTCAGGAACAATTTTTTTTTTTTTTTTTTTTTTTTTCATTGAGTTTACGAAAAAGAGATAAATATTTAATTCTCAACCAAAACCATTATTTCTCACTGTACAAAAATTCTCTATTTATATAATATTCTTGATATTAATTTCACGATAGAGAATTTTCTGCCGTATTCAGCGCTTCTTACGTAACTATAAAGGTCTCTGGATATATCAAGCGTTATCACGAATATTAGTTTCCGGGCTGGTACGGGCAGGAACAACGTCCACGTAACGCATCGCGC